AACATCCTCACCATAAGATCAAGTTGCTGAAAGCATTGCAGGCGAATTTGGCTGCCTATGTGTCCGAAGAAATGGAACATTTGGACGTCACCATCCCGGAGCAAGGCTGCTATATGGAAGTCCTGTCAGAGGCCATCATGTACAAGGTGGAGGTGGAAGAAATGCTCCTGCAGAATGATCGTGACGTGGATGAACTTGCGACCAAAGAGCTGGAGGAGGAGTTCCTGGTCACGAGGACTGTCGGCAGCAAGGAGGTTTGGGATGACTTTGAGAATTGGGTCCCATCCATCACTGCCGAGTACAACCAGCTGGTCAAGACAAAGGAAGCAGTGGAGCAAATCACAAAGCGAGAGCTCCACCAACGGGCAGAAGCACAAGGAAAAACCATAGAGCTTCTTCCGGCCAAGATGGTGTACACCCGCAAAGCAGGAGCTGGAGTACGTCGGGCAAGAGCTGTATGTTGTGGCAATTACTCCGAATCCAGGTTCAGTGGAGATTGCTACGCTGGAGGAGCTGATGGCTGCCAAGTGCGAGCTCTGGTCCGCACCTCGGCTTTGAAGGGGTGGACACTGGCAGCAACCGACATCAGAGTCGCTTTCTTGAACGCCCCAAGAAGGGAGGATGGAAAGATGGTGGCAATGGAGATTCCCAGTGTCTACAAGCGCCTTGGCCTCGCCCGAGAAGGTGAAGTGTGGCTGGTAAAATTAGCCATGTACGGCCTCACAACGTCCCCAAGGGATTGGTCGCAGTACAGAGATCGCACTCTTCCAATGGTCAGCTGGGTGCGGGAAAGAGAAGGGCGAAATGTCAGGGGCTACTTCGTCAAAACAGCTGATGAGAACTTGTGGCGGTTGGAGGAGGCCGACACGGAGACTGGTGAGAATCATTGGACAGGTCTGATGTCTGTACTATGTTGATGACATCCTCATCAGTGGCGAAGACAGTGCAGTCTCAGCAGCCCTGACATCCTTGCAGGCCACTTGGACTACATCCAGCGTAGAAAAGGCAACACCTACCTCTCCTGTCCACTTCTGCGGCTTTGAGATCTCTGCCGATGAGCATGGTGATGGTTTTCATTTGTCACAGCAGAAGTATGAGCAGGAGATCCTCACACGCTGGAATGTCAAGGAAGCCTCAACCTTCCCGAACTTCAAGGTCAGTGAGACCGACATGGAACCGCCAGATTCGGTGGACAAGGTGCAGATTCGCGAGGCACAAGCTCTTGCAGGGTCCCTCTTGTGGCTTTCAACCAGGTCACGGCCAGATTTGGCCTATGGTGTGGCGGCCCTCAGTCGGTTGGTGACTCGCAACCCTGCAAAGGCCATCGAAATCGGCCAGTCCTTGCTCGCCTATGTGAAGGGCACTCCTGGCGACTTGCACTATCCCCAGAAGATCAAGAAGAAATGGGGGTCAAGGGATCAGCTCAAGATCCAACGACGTGAAGGCCTACTGGAGGTGTTCGCCGACATAGCGTACGGCACTGGCTCCAATCACCGAAGTGTGCAAGGGCTAGTGATTTGTTTCGCTGGAGCTCCTGTGGCATGGCAAAGTGCCACCCAACCGTTTGTGACCCACAGCACAGCTGAAGCAGAGTTGGTTTCCTACTGTGAAGCTCTACGCACAGGTCGTGCAACGGAAGCCTTGCTGTGCGCTATGTGGGGGGAGCCGCTGGACAATTCGAATGTCTTCGAGCGGGTCATCTATGGTGATAATGCCGCAGCCATCAGCCTCGCCTACGGCAATAGTGCTACATCCTGGAGGACCCGGCATTTGCGTGTGAGGTCCAACATCCTGAAGGAGGCACTTGATGAGCAGGGCTCGTATCCAGGTGGCTGTTGGAAGCTGGCCCATCTTCGTGGCACTGAGCTTGTGGCCGATGGCATGACAAAGCCGCTCCTTGGCCAGAGTTTCGCAGGTTTTTTTGGTGATTTGGGTTTGAAGCCTCCGGAAGTGAAAGTGGCCAGCTTGAAGCTTGGTCAAAACGCCCCTCCTGCACCAGACCATCAGTTGGCTGTGAGAGCAATTGTGGCTGGGAGCGCCTTGGTTCGTGCAGCTGAAGCTGGAGGAAGTCAGGACTCCGATGCAGTTTTTGGAGGTTTGATGTTGTGTGGCATAGTGCTAGTGCTCATTGGGGCAATCTGGGTGGCGAAGGCGGCTGTGAGTTCTTTTGGGTGCTGCCTACGCCGATTGCATGGAGTCACTTGTGAGCCACCCAGTTCATCGGACCTGCCTGAAGCTGATGAAGGGGCCCATACTACTTCCTTGCGACCCAGGCGGGCACGTTCGTGGGGGAGGACAGACCAGGGCACGAATGGGGTTGAAGCCACCGAGACGGAGGAAGAGACGGAGGAGGGAGCTCAAGCCATCCGAAGAAGGCGAGCGGCAAGGCCAAGTGATGATGATGATCGCGATGATCGAGAAGGGACTTCTATGACAGGGAGAAGGTCTATGTCCCAGACATCAAGGCGGCGATCGGGCTCGCTGCACGGCACATCATCACGGTCGATGAGGAGGAGATCAAGTGAAAGCAACTCTGTTGAGTTGCAAGCGGCCAGCGAGGCTGCTGATGATGCCGTGCAAGCTGCCAGCCAGGCAGCTGAAGGGGCAGAGCGTGCTGCTGAGAGCGCGCACCAGGCGGCCGCTGCAGCGAATCTAGCTGCTGTGAACGCTGAAGCAGCGACAACTATGCTTCAGCATGCACTGAGAGCCAAAGCGAAGGCTTCTCCGGTGGTCAGGCCGATCCGAAGGGTCGAAGAAGAGCCGACCAACCCATGGAACAGGTTCCAGCGGCATAATGCCAACCAAGGGTGGAACCTGGACAAAATGCGCGCCGAATACTATCGCGCGAAGAGCATGAACAGTTTGCCTTGAGCCCCAAAATTTCGAGATCTCGTGAAAACGAGAGGGGGAGTCTGTTCGGTGAGAGAACATCGGACATGTCACGACTTCAGGCATTTTGTGTTCGAGAAAAGGCGCGCATGCCTTTAGTTCACGAGACGGTATTATTTTCTATAGTACAGTATAGTCTTCAGCTATCAACCCTTTGAGGGCCAATAGGCCACAGAGAACACATTTGTAGTTCCTTCTTATTTGAGGCGAACGTCCAGATGTAGAGACAGCTCAGAGTTGATGCGCATGCGTTCAAGCACTCATGCTTTTCTGCAGCGGCCACGCTGCAGTTTCACAGAGCCGGTCTGTGTCCCGACGCGCTGTGCTGTGACCCGCGTCATGTCGCCACTCTCGTAGCTAGAGAACCGCCCCAGCCGCCCGTTGTTCCACCTCGTGCGTCGCTGTGGACCGCGCAGACAGCTGGGAAATGCATTTGCCCGGCGAGGAACTGTTTCGCTGTTTTTGCACGGAGGAGCACACCAAATGTTGGAAGAAATGGTTTTGACTTTGAAAACACCACCCACTTCGCGTGCCCGCAGCAGCTGCACTTAACTTTCGATTGCGCATGCCCAGTTGCTTCAGCACGCCGGGGTCGGCTGATCTTGCTTTGGCATAGACACAGCCCAGTACGCTGTTGCGAGCTGCTGATCCTACAGGGAGCACAGACGTTTTGCAAGGTGGGCTGCGTTGGTCAAAAGTCCGGAGCGCATGCGTCTGACTGAGCGTCACGAGGGACACGCATGGTGGAAAGAACCGGGACACTCCTATAGGTCAATTTGTTCTTATAGGAAACTTCCGCCGCCGGCATGCCCGGGAACTGATTTTGTTACTTTTTGTTCAACACTGAATCTTTTCACTGTCGCTAGGGCCAGTGGTTTTCCATCCCAATACTGCAATGTCTTTGTTTGTGCGACGGAACCCTGGAACTGTGGTCTGTTGGTCCGTTGGTGGGGCAATAACCCCTTAGTGCAGGAAAGCAGAATGGGCAGGCGCAGCCAAATACAACACAATACCTGTGCTTGGTCAAAAGGTCCCTTGGTTGAGACCGAACAACATAGAACAATAAACTCCCACGCGACAGGAAAAAGAAGCTGAAGACCCTGGATGATTTCTCCAATAAAATGTGAAGGGAAAGCACGACCTGACGTTGGCAAAGACCAAAATGGCTGAAGACTTCTGAAAAAATATACATGCCGCCCATAATGAGATTTCTCGAGAAATGCATGGACATGTACAGTAGATATTCTTGGAAAATGTCTGGAAAAGCGAAGATTATTGAGTTCACTTGTATAATGTAATAAAAATATATATATATATAAGATCTAAATATATAGAATTATATCGGTATCTAGGGTTACTATGTGGTGCTAAATGGTACTATATATTCATCTACTTACTAAGAGTCCTGAGCCTTTAGTTTAAGTAGTAAAAGCCCAGGCATCACTCCGCTCCAGAACTCCGGCGGGAAGGCAGGTCGGTGGGCGAAGCACTGACATAAAATCTAGAGACCCTCACCACACTTTGTTACTAGTAGCTTCTTGTTCCTGGTAGTAAGGCCGGGAGCCCCTAGTAGCTTCTTGTTCGTGGTAGTAAGGCCAGGAGCCCC